GTTAATTCAAAATGGATCAAGGAGCTTGATATCAAATCAGAGACACGGCGTCTGATAGTAGAAAAAGTTGGCTACGATCTACATACTGTGGGATCGGGCTCCAAATTCCTCAATAGGACACCCATAGCACAAAAGTTAATAACTAGAATCAACAAATGGGACTTATTCAAACTAAAAAGTTTTTTCTCAGCAAAAGAAACAATGAGAGGTAAATAGGGAGCCTACATCCTGGGAACAAATCTTTGCTCCTCACACTTCAGATAGAGCCCTAATATCCAGAGTATACAAAGAACTCAAAAAATTAGACAATAAGAGAACAAACAACCCAATCAACAAATGGGCCAAGGACCTGAACAGACACTTCTCAGAGGAGGACATACAATCAATCAACAAGTACATGAAAAAATGCTCACCATCTCTAGCTGTCAGAGAAATGCAAATCAAAACCACCCTAAGATACCATCTCACTCCAGTAAGATTGGCAGCCATTATGAAGTCAAACAACAAGTGCTGGCGAGGATGTGGGGAAAAGGGTACACTTGTACATTGCTGGTGGGACTGCAGATTGGTGCAGCCAATTTGGAAAGCAGTATGGAGATTTCTTGGAAAGCTGGGAATGGAACCACCATTTGACCCAGCTATTCCCCTTCTCGGTCTATTCCCTAAAAACCTAAAAAGAGCATGCTACAGGGACACTGCTACATTGATGTTCATAGCAGCACAATTCACAATAGCAAGACTGTGAAACCAACCTAGATGCCCTTCAATAGACGAATGGATTAAAAAAATGTGGCATTTATACACAATGGAGTATTACTCTGCATTAAAAAATGACAAAATCATAGAATTTGCAGGGAAATGGATGGCATTAGAGCAGATTATGCTAAGTGAAGCTAGCCAATTCCTAAAAAACAAATGCCAAATGTCTTCTTTGATATAAGGAGAGTAACTAAGAACAGAGTAGGGACGAAGAGCATGAGAAGAAGATTAACATTAAACAGGGATGAGAGGTGGGAGGGAAAGGGAGAGAGAAGGGAAATTGCATGGAAATGGAAGGAGACCCTCTGGGTTATACAAAATTACTTACAAGAGGAAGTGAGGGGAAAATAATACAAGGGGGAGAAATGAATGACAGTAGAGGGGGTAGAGAGAGAAGAGGGGAGGGGAGGGGGGATAGTAGAGGATAGGAAAGGCAGCAGAATACAACAGACACTAGTATGGCAATATGTAAATCAATGGATGTGTAACTGATGTGATGCTGCAATCTGTATACGGGGTAAAAATGGGAGTTCATAACCCACTTGAATCAAAGTGTGAAATATGATATGTCAAGAACTATGTAATGTTTTGAACAACCAACAATAAAAAATTTAAAAAAAAAATAATGGGAAGAAAGTTTGCAAAGTTTGATAGCAGTTTTATTTCATTTTGTATTTTTCAGTGCCTATTAACCTGTACAATGAATATATTAAATAATGATATGAATAATATAGAACTCTTTTTAGGGATCAAACTGGCTTTACTAAGTTTGATTTTATCCTGCTGATATTTATGTTACCACAATTCATAATTTTATGAACTAGGGTAAACTTTGAATCTTGATTTACATGAAAGTGATTTATACTTATTAGCATAAATTTCTAAGTACCTGTGTATATATATATTTTTTTTTGGTGGGGGGAGCCATACCAGGGATTGAACTCAGGGGTGCTTAACAACTGATCATCATTCCCAGCTCTTTTTTTTATTTTATTCAGAAACAGTGTCTCACTGAGTTGCTTAGTGCCTTGTTAAGTTGCTGAGGCTGGCTTTGAACTTGAGATCCTCCTGCCTCAGCCTCCCAAGCCACTGGGATTACAGGTGTGCAGGCATGTGCCACCGTGCCCAGTCACTTGTTTACTTTTTTAAAAAATATATTTTTAGTTGTAGATGGACATGATATCTTTATTTAACTTTTCATGTGGTGTTGAGAATCGAACTCAGTGCCTCACACGTTCTAGGAAAGCACTCTACCACTGAGCCACACCCCTAGCCCCATGTATCCTCATGAAGGCTGGTGCAGTCTAATAACATTGTTTACTTTTTAAACTGGATATACTATGTTAAAATCTAGATGGTTAGCATTAATACTCTTCTTGGAACAAGTGTTGTCCTTCATGGCTAGAATCATCTGCATGGATTCAAGGGGAGTTATTAGCAAAAATATCTGCTCATTTCTTCTTGTTATGGTTGAAAGGTACCATGTCACTCCTTATAAATGTCATTCAGCCAAACCATGTGAAAATCATAAGAGGATACTCATGGTTACTGAACTGGATATTATTTAATTTTATTAAGACCCTTTTTATAACAAAAATTGGGAATAACCTTCAGCTCTGTACATTTATCCCCTTTAAATTCCGAGTTTGATTTTAGCCTGCTTAGTTATATGACCAATGAAGAACATTTTGTATCCTCATGAAGGCTGGTGCAGTCTAATAACATGAAAGGCTTTCATCCCATGAAGCTTCAGTTCCCTCTCCTCTTATATTAGTGATTGTTTTGCCTAACTGATGGGGACTTTTTTTTAAAATTTCAAACAATGGGGAGAATAGTAAAATGAAACCCCATGTGCCTGACTGTCAGCTTCAAGAATTACCAAAACGTGATCACACATACCCCTACCTTCCCTCTGCTCACTCCTGTGGGAGTCGTCTTTTTATTTTACTTGAAAGTGCTTCCATATCTATCTCTAGAACATCCAACTGAACATATCATTATAAATGATAAAAAGATTAATCATAATTCTTCAATATCAAAAAATCCAACTAACATTCCCAGATCATTACATGGTTGTTTTGAAAAATAAAGTATATTTTGGATCATCAGGGAAACTAAAGAACCTTAAAAGTGTTATTGTCACTCAGTAATCATATTTAAAATTCTGCAAAGCAGTAGCTTGTATCCTAGTTCTTAAATTATTTGTTGTAACATTAGTTCTTACAAATATTATATAGGGAGGCAGGCAGTATGGCAAGAAGGGTGGATTAGTAGCCTTCTAGATTCAAAACCAATCTCCATTAATTGCTAGCCATGTGACTTTGGGCATATTACTTAAAATCTTTGGTCTTCATTTTTCTTTTTGTTGACATGGGGCTAACTAAAACTACTTACAGGATTATTTTAATTATTATGTTAGATACCATATGTGCAACCAAATAATAGTTAAAATCTACTGAGTAAATATACAAAGTTGATGTTCAACTGTTGTTATCATCATTATCATCATCATAATAGACAACACAGCTCCCAAGTCTTGCTTTATGCTGATGTTGTGCTAAAGGACTGACTTTATATCGTCATTCTGTCAGTTGACATTCAAGATGCCCTCTAGTCTTCAACCTTATTTCACAGATGCTGAAATTTCAGATCATAAAGACCCACTATTTAATAAATGTTAAAGCTTAATTTGCAATCAAGCCTGGGTGACCCTTGATCCTAAGCTTTTGATAACCAATTCATGGCCTTTGGTGTGCTGTAATGGTTGTAATTTATCTGGGTTTAGAATCTTCTAATTAGGTCTTACTACATGCTTATAGATACATTTAATTTCCATCTGATATTTAGGTGTTGATTTCTATGTCTTTCCAGGAAATACTGCAGAAATACAGTGACCTCTATGACCTATCCCGGTCAGAAAAAGGGAAACTTCATGAACAAGCTGTGACTATGTGTTTGGATGGTCAGCCTCTAAGAATGATTCAGCAGCTGCTTGGGGTGGCGGTTGGTCCTCTAGACATTTCACCCAAGGATGTAGTACAATGTGCAATAAGGAAAATAATTTCTGTCTTGGGGTAAGCTTTAAAGAGAAAATACTAAAGAAAAACTAAGGTACTATTTTACCAATAATGAGTGTTTACCTCATGGTTGTTATGAAGCTAAACTATCCTCATGTATGTAGAAGCTTTAAATTTTCAAGTATTTTTCCAAAGTGAGAAATTAGTTTTAGAGTGTTCAAAGTCTTATTTCTTAAAAATCTTGAGAACTATGAATTGTTGTATCATTTGTATGATGTGTACATGTTAAGAAGCTAACTTCTAGTGGACCTTCTTTCCCTCCTCAGATTTTTTTATGTTTATTTAGAGATGGGGGTCTCATGTTGCCAAGTAGCTGGATTGCAGGCATGTACCACCACACCCAACTTTTAAGTTATTTTTGAAATTGGAGAAAGTCCAAAATGGCATCTGAGCATGTAGCTAAGAGCCAGACTGCCCTGTGGCTTCAGCAAGTATTTTCAGATTTTGCCTTTTTTTTTTTTTTTTTTTGAGAGAGAGAATCTTTTTTTGTTTGTAGATGGACACAACACAATGCCTTTATTTTTATGTGGTGCTGAGAATCTAACCCGGGTCCCACTCATGCTGGGCGAGCGCTCTACCGCTGAGCCACAAGCACAGCCCCAGATTTTGCCTTTTCTGAAACCCCTTCTTTGTAGCAATGGGAAAATAGTTTCCAGAAGGTTCTTTTAAACTACATCAAGCAGCTGGTGTGTAGCTCAGTGGTAGAGCACTTGCCTACCATTCATGAAGTCCCCACTACTGGAAAAAAAAAAAAAATACTTGAACATGTAAAGCAAAGTTAATCATACCCTGAAGAAACTAGATATCTGTTAAGGACATTATTTACCCACAGTTAATGGCATAAACTTGACAATTTAGAAATTCTTGCTTCATGTCAATATGCTGGTGCCTTGGTAGGCTTGTATCCAAGAGGATTAAAAAAGAGGGAAAAGTGAAGCTAAGAAAATAATGAGGCATCAAGTGCTTTCTGTGAATAATGCAATTAGGCTAAAAGATTTAGTTGTGTTTAATTTATTCTCTTTTTGAGCATTCTTTGTAATTCTGTATTGCTCTTGAGGAACTTTTTGATTAAATGCATGTCAGTTTTCTGCAGCTGAACTGAAATCAAATGAGCCTTTATCAGTTTAATTACCCCAGCCTCAAACAGTTTTCACCTTAGTGCTCTAAAGTATCTGGGAATTTAATACATAGAGGCAGACAAGAAATAGGATAGCATTTTTTTTTTTTTTTTTTTTTTTAGAAATAACCAGTTAATGAAGCTTTGTACTGTTTGTTTTTTGTTTTTGTCATTGTTTTTTTTTTTTTTTTGTCATGAGTTTTTTTGTCATTGGTTATAAGAATCACTCTCTCAAAAAAAATGTTTATACAACTCAAGTTTGTTTGCTACTTTTGTACCTTTTGGGTTATAGTTACCCTTTTATTATTTTTTTAAATCAAGCCTTAAATGAAACTTACAAAAATAAACATTTTGAGAAATCAGTGTTTTGATGAATATAGTTTTTCTTTAAAGTTGCACATTTTCATTAATAATTAAAATTATATCTAGTAGCTTTATAGTTATAAACACTTTACATAAATTATACTTCCTTTTCCGTCCCTGTACCCAGTTCTACCTTTCCAGGTTTGGTTCTGATCTGATCAATATATACTTGGCTCACAGAGGACTTTCAATGAATGTGAATTAAATCTTTCAGAAGTGGAGGAAGGAGAGTTTGAGTTCAGCTGCCTCTTTTTCAAAGGAAAAGAAACTGCTGTTGATAACTTCCATAATATTTACCTTTCAGAAAGTAAAATTTGGTAGGCGCACAGTGACAAAAGCAGGAAAGTAACAGAATCCAGCAGTTGATTTCAGTCATAAACTTCAATTGTCCCAGAAACTCAGGCTCAACTTCCTTTTCCTCTGTTGCATTTTCAGAACTCTGGAGTTCCACACAGGCATATCTGGAGAATGGGCAGTGAGGATCATTAAACAGCAGAATATATGTAAAGCACTTAGTGATGCCCAGTACCTAATAAACAACAAGTGTATATTGGTGGTGGTTGATTTTTTTTTTTTTTTAAGAATGTTCAACTGGAATACTTAGAATTATTATTAACATATTTAACACTTTAAATGGCTTGCATATTTCATGTTAAGTGAGTGTTTTCTCAGTGACGGAATGCAAATAGATTATGTTCTCGTGACAGTAAAACATGCTCCTTAAGAGCAGGAATGTCCCATTTCCATACATTTAGCACCTGATATTGGATTTAGTACACATGCAGCACAAATGGCCGGCTGTGGGTGGACAGTGCACTGTGCAGGACTCCTGCTGGGTCCATCTAAGTATGTAATTACCATATGTATTTCTGAGGCTTGAGTGACTCTTTTGACTCTGTTCTCTATTTTTACAGTGGTACCAGTGCTGACCTTGGTGGGCCAAGAGACCCCCTCCAGGTCCTGGAAGGTGTTGTTGCAGCAGTCCACACCAGTGTAGACAACGGGTAAGACTTGGATAGTTTGAGTATCTCTGCTGAATGGCTTTCCTGAGTCTGAGAATTACTTTTAGTGTCCATATTTCTAAAGCTTCTAAGACTAAGCAACAACTGTAGGTGTTTTAAAAGGAACAGAGCTGCTTCTGCAATACTAAGGAGGACTCTGCATCTGGAGAGCCAGGATCCTATCTCTGCTGGCCACATCTGTGCTTGTAGGACCTGCTTACCCTGGAGAAAAGTGTCTCTTCTTGCCTCCTTCACATGGAGGCCTGGAGAGGAAACTGCTCTGAGCCTCTTAAAAGAGAAGGATGCTCATCCACAACAGGTTAACTGTATTGGTGAAGTATAGAAGTTTGAGAGAGAGAGAGAGAGAGTGTGTGTGTGTTTAGAAAAAATCTTTATACAACTCAAGTCTGCTTTGTTTGGAGACTCAATTTACAGCTTTAGAATTTAGAAAAGTGTTCATCTCTAATGCCATTTTTAGAAAGTGTTTTTCATTCAACTACAATAGTGTTGATAGGAATAATAGCAACTACCAATGAATAGCTATCGACTTCCTCAGAATTTACAACAGTCTGTCATATGACTAATGTCCTATGTGTCAACCCCATAAGGCCTCTCCCATTTTTTTTTTTAATAATGAAGTTTCTTTAAAGAGAGAAATTATTCTGTGTGTGTTATGCTCTGTTTTAAGTCACGAGGAATTACATATGTGGATAAGAACTAACCTCTAACCCCAAGGAACTTGCAGGGGAGGTGAGCTTTCTCAGCTGTAAGAACCATGTGGTAGAATGGTAGGTGCTACACAGAAAGCAGGGTCAAGGGAGAGGCTTATTCCACCTGGGCAAGTCAGGACAGATACACAGTGGGTAACCATTGAACTGTTTTCTGGGGAAAAAAAAAAAAGTTAGAAAGGGATGGGCTGTGGATGATGGCATTCCAGGCTGAGGAAGCTACCTGCAGGACAGCAGGTGCAGCAGGTAGCAGAGCAGGCTGAGATACTGCCCAGGACACACTCACCCAGCATCTAGCTGCTGCCATCCTAGTCCCAGCTCACAACGCCCCCTGCGAGTACTGCCAGTAGCACGGCTTCTCTCAGGTAAGGCTGACCCTAGATCCTGGCCTCCCAAGAAGAGAGATCCAAAAGGTGCTGCAGTGGGCCCTTTCCAGTGAGTCCCACTGGGGACAGCCAGGAAAATTAAAAGACAGTGTTTTGCATCCGGAATTTCCAGACCAGAGAATGCCATTGGGTCTTTTGAATATAGACTCCCTATTAAGTTCTAAAGAGGAAGACATTATGGAATGGAGAACAAGAGAGCAGAACAAGATCTTACTTTTTATTCCAGAAACAGAATAGCAAAGTTGTCTTTAAAAAACAAACTTCAGTGATTTTTTTTTTGCCTTTGGAAAGGAAAAAGAAGATAAAGTTGTGACTTTTATTCCTGGCAGGTATGTTTTGATTCTACAGTGCTAAAACTGATTTTACTTGCTTTTATTTCCCTTCCCCACCAATATTCCTGGCAGAATCAAATAGAGAAGTTGGTCTCTGTATTCCAGGTAGTTCCAGGCAGGATCTTTGGGTGACATGGGGACTCCAGTCTCTTTAACCCAGCACTTTCATATCACTGATTATTTTCTGATCTCAGCAGCCTAGTCTCTAGGAGGATGTGCCAGGCTGGTGTGCCCCTTTCCCTGCCTCTAAACATGCCAGCTCTCCTTCAGTCCCGGCCTTGACATCTATTACCTTCCTCAATCTGTTTCAGTAGTAAAGAAGCTGCACATACTCGGCCATCACACAAGACAGGTTATGCACACACCATCCTGCAATATTCCTTGCAGGAAGCTGTGGAAGAGAGTAAGAATTAGAGTGAGAAAGTGTGTGTGTGTGTGTGTGTGTGTGTGTGTGTGTGTGTGTGTAGGACTACTACCAAGTTTTTGGTTTTGTGACTAAATTTTAGATAGTTGATGCCATCTGTCAGCATGGTTCTTGACTTTTTATATTGGTTTAGATGTCATTTGCTTTGTAGCTGCAGCTTCTACCTCAGAAAACACTTTCTCCCTTCTTTTATTTGTGCTACTTTTTAAATTACATAAAATCACTCAGACTAGCCAGCAGTGGAGTGTACAAATGACTACGTGTACCAGTTGTCTTTTCCTTCCAGTTTAACAGGGTTCACACCACTACACATGAAGGTTAAGTATTCTAGGAGTTTGGAATGCCCCTCCCCCACTTTCTATAATATCTGTAGTTAAAGATGTGATAAGGTAATTAATTATTCAGAGCCTCATGCATATTGAAGTTACTTTATGAATTTGCATACTTCCCCCATTATTTTTGTATGCTTATAACATCCATGTTCTGAGAATATAATCTAGATTTTTAGTTTGAGAATTAGTTTTAGTTTGCTTAAGAAAAATAAAGCTTATTATTCAAATTCAATAGCTTAACATAATCATATTCTAAAATAATATAGCTCTTAAACTTAGAAATTAATAAACTACCACTGTCCTAAATTTTAAAAAAACAAAAAATCCTTAATGAACACTTATTTCTCTATACCAACACCTTAGAAAGGTGCTATTCAGTAATTCAATCTTCAGAACAATCCTACCACACAGAAAGTATTATCTCCATTTTACAGATTAAGAAGAAATGGAGCTCAAGCTGGATGTGATGGTGCATGCCTGGAATCCCAGCTACTTGGGAAGCTAGGGCATGAGGATCACAAGTTTGAGGCCAGCCTCTGCAACTTAGTGAGAACCTATTTCAAAAGAGAAAGGGCTAGAGGTGCAGCTCAGTGGTAGAGTGCTCACCTAGCATGCCTGGTACTTGAACTGAATTCAATCCCTCCTTGTACCACTGGAAAAGAAAAGGAAAAACAAAAATGTGAATCTTAGGGAGGTTTCCATGATCACACAGTAAGGACAGTCTATGACTCTCACCTTGACATTTCTCCCGGATATGAAAGAGCCAGCAGTGGAGAATAAGGGGCTGCTTCTCGCACCTCACTCTGCACACAGCTTGCCTGCAGTGTCTTATTAACATAGATTTGGATTGAGAAATCTATAGGGAGCCTTAAACTTTCCCAAGTGACAACTAGTTCATGAACTGAACTTTCCGTAGAAGATCTTAGGGTAGTACTTCCCCCACCTGTCTCATCCCTTTGCCCTGCTTCTCTTTACTTTCACTTTATTTTTTTTCCTACTTCCTGCCTTCAGACCTTTAAAGTTTTTTTTTAATTTGAGTGACCTACAAGTATTAACTGCATATTAGTGATTCTCAAAGGAAGTATGGGGTTAAATCTACTCAGATGATAAGATAATTAATAATGGAATCCATCTGTGCAATATTCCAAGAAAAGAGATTTTCTTCAGAACTTTTTAATATTTTTGGTTCTTTTGTTTGCTAACATTGCTACTTAACGACAAAAACAGATGGACTATCTTAAAGCCTCATGTATTTTGAAACAGGGTCAGATAATTCAGACTTGATTGAACTCTTTGCTATTACCTAGGAATTTCACATTATTTTTAAAATACAGAAAAGAAAAAGGGGAGAGCCCATTTGAGCAAATTGAGAATCGTGTTCTTCAAGTACCCACAGTGTACATTGTGAGGTACGGAGCCCTCCTGAAAGCCATGGCCACTGACCTGGATGGTGGAACTACTGCACCACTGCAGTTACTGGATCCCTTTAGGCCCTGTTGATGGCTCCCAGCAGCTGTGGTTACCTGTCACAGCAAGATGTAGCATGCTGCTTCTTAGCAAGTGAAGCCAAGGAAGATAGTTTGGATTGGTGTATATTGGAAAGTAGACACAAAGATATTAGTGTTTACCAAGAGTTAGGATTTAAGATTCTAATTGTGTGCATACCACAGTTGTTGTTATTTTTTGAGCCTACCTGACTCTTCAATCTGTGGATATGTTACAGGAAAGAATGTTTGAAACTTTTTGCATTAACTTTTTTTTATTTTAAGTATTCCTTACATAATGGTATATTTTGAAATATTATACATACATTGGATAAGTATAGCTTCTTCCAATTAGGATCACATTGTTTCGGTTATACATGATGTGGAATTACATTGGTCGTGTATTTATGAGGATAGGAAAGACAAGTCCAATTCATTCTAGGAATTTTTCTTTTAATTCAACTTAATTGGGACTTTTTAAAGTCACACTTCTTATATAACCACAATATTATTAATGTACATTTGTGTATTTGCAGATCCCTCTTATCCCTTGCTGGTTGCCCTTGATTTTTTCCATGGTTGTTGATAAATAATAGACATTCACCTGGGAAGTGTCATCCCCACTCAACTCCATGCATAGAGAGGAAAGTATGCACAGTGTGTGGATCCATCCATTAACAGAGGCAAGGTGCCTAGAATATGAACATTTGACTCCCTCACTCTGAATTCATGTTTACTTGCATCCGCCTCTCTCCCCTCCCTCCCTCTCCCGCTGTCATGCGGATCAGAGCTTACAGACTTGTTTGCTGAGAGGCCAGGCAGTTATGGAAATGGAGTGAGATGAATCAGGCTTTGGACAATGGAACCTAGGGGGAACTAGAAAGCTTCCAGAGGCATCCTCCAAGAGAAGCCTTGCCTTGGTCCCAGCCTTTTGTTGCCACATGTTCATATTATCCAGTTTTTAAAGAACTGGAGAATTCTGATTCATTTTGTGTGTGTGTGTGTGTGTGTGTGAGAGAGAGAGAGACAGAGACAGACAGAGAGACAGAGAGACAGAGAAAGTTCTTAATTTTGAAACTTTGGTATATACTGGCAAGTCAGTCCCCAAATTTGTCTGCCAGTTTACCTTCAGTACAAAAGACTGGATAAAGTGGCCTTGTTTCTTGTCAGTTGTTCAAATTCTATGACATTTTTATTTTACAAGAAATCTCAAAGGTCTGTTTTCATGTTTGAATGCAGTCTTTCCTTTCTTCATTCTGCTTCATGATTTATAAAGTTATTCATATGCTTTTTGCCTCTTTTAATATACCTTAACTTTTAAGTTTTGGTTGTCTTTCTATGTATATGCCATGCAGGATTTGAAAACCCTTTTACCAATAATTAGTTTATTTGTATTCATTAAATCTATCTTTTGCTTTGTTTCAACAATTGCCTTTGATTGAATTCCCTTCTCTGTGTGTGTGTGTACTTTGTGAGTGTTCTCCTGTGGCCAGTCATAACAGGAAGGCCATGTGAGGACTCCACCCACCTGAGTTGTCACATTCTCTTAAGTAATCATTTAGTTAACATTTGTGTTGTCACTGTTGCTGCTGCACTTCTTTTCTGCTCATAGTTACTATGTATTCCAGGTGACTCATTATTCTTTTGGGCCAAATTTGTGATTTTATATTTCCCCTATAAATTATTTGTTTAAATGGTATATTCATTTACCCTGCACATTAAAATGCCCACCCCTGTTCTTAATATAGGGAAAAAGAAACAATTTCTCATCTGTTTATAGTGAAACTCGGGAGATTTTCCCTTTACCTATTTATAATTTTATAGTAAAGTGGTATGTTTCAAAATATTCATTTATTATTCCTAAACTCATTAAATCTTCTATTTGCTTTCATAAAAGCCTGTAGAAATGGAATCACTTTCCTTGTTCTTATTCTGGTTTTTTTTATGATGAAAGTCATTACTTTTTACCAACCTATTTACCTTGAAAAATTTCAAACTCACAGAAGAGTTGCAAGGAGAAAAATATCTACATACTCTTCCCCTAATTTACCAATTATTAACATTTCATCACAATTCTGTGTTTCTCTGTGTGCTGATCCATGAGAATCACTAAAACTTTTAAAAACTCAAATTGAAATCAAAGCATATATTTTTCAACTATACTTTTTAGGAGTTAGTGTTTTGTTCAGGCTCTTGACAGTGTTTTCTAAAGAGCTGTTTTAGGAATGAGTTCTCATAATTTTGTTTTTGAACTATGTATCAAAAATTAGAATATGTGCCTCCAAAATGTCAAATATTATTAACTACACTGTAAACGCTAATGTAACAAGAGTCTAACTCGATTTAATAACTTGGAAAATACTATAGCAATAATCTTTCTGTATCTCATCAGTATCTGAATAATTTTAATCTCCTGCCACATTGTTCTGGAATATGGCCCAGTTTGGGTTCAGCAGCATTGTGTAGTAATTGATAAGGCAGTCAGATAGTCCAAGTTCAAATATTGGCTTCACTACTTACTGTGTGACCTTGGAAAAGGTATAAAACCTCTGATTGTTCCCTCATCCACAAATTAGAGCTGATATAGTACACAGGAAAAAGACAGTTATGAGGAAGAGCTATAAGTCACAGCGAACCTCAAGCCTTCAGAAATTATTACTGTTTTTATTCTTGTTCACTATATTCAGGTTTTGGGGTATTGTTATAGCTTCCATTTGGTCTTCATGACTCCCACTTCCTCCCATTCTCGTTTATCCTCTCTCCCACCTTCTTGGCACTTGAGCAGAAGGTCAAAACATTAGCTTCATACTATGTAGATCTAGCTTGAATTCATGGCCAAAAATGGGCTTCAAACTCTTTTCCCCTTGAACTTGGACCTCCACCAAAAAGGGTGAGTGTGCCTCATTCTGCATACTTCTCTAATTTTTAACACCACTTTGATGTTTCACTGCTCAGAAATACTCTCTCATTCCCTTTCCATACCAAGGAAGACCAGAGAACCTCAATAATAATGGCTGCCAGTAATTGAAGTCCTTAGTTATATGCCAAACCTTGTATTACGTGCTTTACATTTGTATTTACTATTTGATGTTTCAGTTTAATTCTAAACAGCCCCATGAGAAAGGAATTGTTATCCATCTCTTTTGACAAATAAGGAAGTTGAGGCTCATAATTAATTGACTTTTTAGCCAAAGTAATCCTAACAGGAAATAGTAGACCTGGGAGCTAAAGCTGGGCCCCACAGCTCCTGAGCCTGCACTTCCAGAGAGTGCAGCTAAGCTGCTTCTTCAGCCACTTGGTTACCTAGGTGAGAAACATCTATCACAATGCTCTCTAATTTACCACCTACTCATGTGAGCTTTAATCTCCTCCTGAACTATTTTCCTACCTTTTCATTTAAGTGCACCCTGCTTATCCCTTATGATCCTGTTCAGGTGCCACACCACCTTCTCCAAAACAATTGTTCAAATTTGTTATTTTCGTGATTTGGATAATAGTTCTAAAGTCTTTCTATTCCATTGTATCATTAGTTCTTTCAAGGCAGAGACCATGTAATTTTTTAATATCTGTGTCATCAGGCACAAACTAGTACTTTGATGATGCTGATGATAATTATTATGATGGTGATTATGACAATGATGGTTTGCTATTAAGTGCTTCCTCTGTGCCGCATGTTGTACTAGATGCTTGGTATATATTATCTTGATTTCCTAGGGATCCTTGTGTGCTTAACTATAAGATGGAAATGATAACTTTCATGATTCTTTGTCTAGAGTTGTTCAGAAAGAATGGGTTACAGTTAGGTCCATCAGATTTTTTTTTAAAAGTGGTCTTTTCATTGTACCATACTGTTTGGTTACCTTATAAATAGCAGGTATCCAGGAATTATTGGTTCATTCTACATTTTTCACACACCAGTTTTTCCTGTTTCTGATACTGTAAAGATTATTCATTGGTAAAACTAAGAAATGAATTCATAAGTTTAGAACTATTTAAGCCATTTGTCTGCAATGTTTTGTAATTTCTTTTAATCCTAATACAAATGATGAATTCTGTTTTTTTATTTTTAATTTAAATTGCCATAAAGTAGCATTTGGCAACTATATTATGGAGAAACTACTAAGAGGAATACTCAGTGACATTATAGTATTTTATTCTCAGAAGTTTTTAAAAAGCCTTGTAGTCTTGATAGGGTTGAAGATAGGTTAGTCTGCGACTCAGTTTAGGTGATTTATCGCTGAGATCTTCCTATAGATCTAGTTACAACAAAAACTGTATAATATATTATTGTAACATGGATCCCCAGGGCCTTGTGAGAGGGAGTCTTCTATATGGATAACCTCTTAACAGTCATTGATAGTAATTCATTGACATCACTGTCAAATAAGTTGTTTTCCTGAGAGGGTCCATTTGGGATACAAAAGAAGCAATTCTGCTGGATAGAAAGTTGTACAATATGTCCCCTTCTCTAAATTCTTTTAGACTCTACAGTCCTATAAGAGCCAAGTGTTCATATTTTATTTTTAGGGTAGTGTAAAAATTGATATGGTAACCACATGCTGAAATTCTAATATCAATGAAAAGTGGTACAAAGAGCATGGGCTTTGAGGTCACACTGCAGTATCTCCTACAGATGTGTGTGGGCTGATTATATCACTTCCCTGAAGCCTGTTTTCTCATCTTTAAAATGTAATTTATGATCCCTGCTTTGCATAGTTATTGCCAACTAGTAATAGAATATGTAAAATTGCTAGAATAGTACCTAGAACCATAGGTATGATTAATAGAAATAAGCTTTCCTATACTTTAAATTTTAAATAAGAAATAAACTAGCTAAGGACTTATTGGTTAATGGCTATTTTTTAGTTAATACAACTCATTTTAAAATGACATTAATTTTACATAGCTTTTAAATGACTAATATGGTTTGCTGTAAGCCATTTAAAAACCTATATTTTTCCTCTCAAGAAAAAAAAAAGTAACCAACAAAGAACTCTTGAGGCCAGTGACCACATTCGATTCCTGGAAGGGAAGAAAGCAGAACGACCTAAGAGGTTCTTTTCACCCCCCATTTGTGCCCTGCAGGGAGGAGCTAGTATCACCTGAGGACCTGCTGGAGTGGTTGCGGCCTTTCTGTGCTGATGATACCCAGCCTGTGCGGCCCCGCGTCCATGTGCTGCAGATCCTGGGGCAGTCATTCCACCTGACAGAGGAGGATGGCAAGCTCCTTGTGCTCTTCAGAACAGAGGCCATTCTCAAAGCTGCATGGCCTCAGAGACAGGTAAAGGAGCATCTGACTGCTTTCCTTGTTGACAGTTACCAGAGGTCAATCTTGATTACCTTAAACTTCTCTCAAGGGAATAATCAGCTTGCTAATGATTGGTAAGCATTCCAACGGCTTAGTAATTGAGTATGTGCAATAAAGTGTATTTTTATTTTTATATAGATTTGAACGTGCAACACATTCTTACCATTTTTTTCTTCAGAAGAGATAAGACTGTTCTTTTTTGAGGGTGGGGGGATGGGTACCAGGGAATGAACTCAGGGCCACTCAACCACTTAGCCACATCCCAGCCCTATTTTGTATTTTATTTAGAGACACTCTTATGGAGTTGTTCAGCTCCTTGTTGTTACTGAGGCTGGCTTTGAACTCGCGATCCTCCTACCTCAGACTAAGAGCCACTGAGATTACAGGCGGGCACCACTGCACCTGGCAGGACTATTCTTACTATTGACTAATTGACGCTGTACCAGAAGAAATGCAGAGCTATATGGAAATATAGGATGTAATTGAGCTAATTCATTTCTTTTATGTTCTACCCTCTTTTGTACCTTGCTGGACATAAATGTAACGCACACAGATGGTCGGGGAAAGTTCCAGAGTGAAAGACTCACAACCCTGAAGCATGATATGGAGAAACTAGAAAAACCTTCCCTGACCATCACATATTAATTAAACCTTGAATTCTACATAGTTGAGCTTTAATTATTTTATAGCTATTTTAAAGACGTTTTATCTCTGACTACCATGAAAATTCTGAAAACTCAGAGGATGTACTTAGATTTTTGAATCCCTGAAAATATTCTGTGCACGTACATCACAGAGCGTAATATCTTGTTCTTTGAGTAAATGGTAATGCTAATTCCTAAGTCAAAGAAGTATGGTGACTGAAGAAGTTTGAATTCTAAATTGATGCATCCTAAGGACATAAGATCCAGAAGTCAGCAACTCCATCACGTATTTTAGCATGCAGATTAGACTACCAGGTCAGTGAAAGTTAGAAATCAAGACTTCCCAGGTAACCCCATCTGCAAAAGAGGTCTCTGGAAATCTGGCTCCAACTCAGTTTACTTCCTAATTCTAAAGCATAGTTTATATTTATGTCCTTATTACTACATCTAAAGAACAATGACTTCCTTTCCTGGGTTGGTTGGTTGTTTGTTTGTTTTGGTACTGGTGATTGAATTCGGGTTCTTATATATGCTAAGCATATGCTGTACCACTAAACTATTCCACTGGCCTAAATTGTTTTTAATGAATCAAATATTAAGAACATCTTTGGATTCATATCCAAATATCTTAATTATTATCAACTTTTGTGAAATAACTAGGTAAATATTTACTTCTCAGAGAAATTGAGATTTTAAAAAGAGGACTTTATCAGATTCTCTAGTCTTCCCAAATTGCTGAAATGGATTAAAATGAAAAAGTCACAAATATATGAATAATGCTCTCTGAAGCACTATGACCTTCCCTACATATCTGGGCTCTTCACCTTGCCTACAGTTACCTCAGAAGACCACTTGCAGCCTCTCGAGCAACGCTGGAGCACAAATGCTGGAGGCTGTAGAATATATTCCAAGTACAGGGCATGGTAGGATTAGCAGTGTGTTGGTTCTCAGCATAACACTGCTATGGGTACACATAACATCCCTGAGGCAAACCTTAAATCAGACCATATTATTTTTGCCACACAGAACTTCCTGTTCTGACCCTTATCCTGAAGCAAAGCAACTTTAGTGCAATTATGTCCTTTCCTGTGATCAGCCTCCATTTTTCAAGTTCTCAACCTTGTCAGTTTCATCTTCTATGGTTTCTGGAGTCTGTAAAGATGATTAATCTGGTTTCTCTACTTGGAGCTTCACTTCATTTAATGTCATATCTATATGCTAAAAATATTACAGAGCAGAGTGGAAGTTGGGAAAGGGGAAACATCCATCCTATCCTTCATGTTGAAATGTTTGAACATAATACTTTCAGATTTGAACCCAGACTCTTTATAGCATTGCCAGTATTCCTTCTTTATCCTTTTCTCAATGTTCCACTTACTCAAACAAGTTAGAACTTTTATATGATTTCAATGATTTATAAGTTTTCAATAATTTATAAATTTTTCTGAGATTTTAATTCCTTTATTACTTAACTTTTTCCCCAAATAGGACTTAAGGCAGCCAATCCTCTGTTAACAAAGTCCTTTTTCACACACTTTCCTAAATTGAGTTGACATTTTTGCTATAAATATAAACTATTTCCCTCACTTGTGAAGCCCATAAGTAACTCTGCATTTCACAAATCTGTCCTCTTTACAAAAGCAAACTTTTAGGCCTTCTGAAAAATCTCTCTTGTAGAAGTCTTAGAATGACTAGTAAAAGTCCTCTTATGTTTCCCTCACCCTTTTTCTTCTTGCTTCACTACTTTCCTCTTATGTAAGAGTAATTTCCTGCTCTTGGCAGCTAATGGCCTTGATTTCAAAATTATCTAGGAACAGAATGAGAAGGCTCATTCTAGTTTCATTATGCTATTCATCCAGAGTCTTCTCAAAAAAAAAAAAAAAAAGTCACTGAGTGTCTCTTCCTCCTCCTTTAGAAAGTAAGTATAATTAAGTATCCTATGTCTACAGGGCACTGATGAGTCAAATCTACTTTGGAGGACAAGTGGATTTGACATGGGTATTTTTTCCTATAATTGATAGAACTTCTTGTTTCTTAGCAAATGAATGCAGAAAAATTGTAGTTTCAGAATAGAAACACCAGTACTTCTGGAATGTTGCAGAACAATGCGTGATAGTTCAAATCATGTCTTCAATTACTGTTTTCAACAAATTATGCTACCTTTCATTGAAGCTGTAGAAGGATCAGGTGGTAATAGAGGGATATGTGTTCATCTCCCCCTCCCTCTGCCACTAGTCGTATTATCCTGGGACTATTCTTGCACTATGTGCCTTTGCTATTTAGGGTGTGAAATGGAACCTTGAACTAGAGGACAGAGAAGTTGGTCTGCTCACTTTATCAGTCATTTTACTCACGTCAACTGTGCTCTTTATCTCTATATCCCCAATACTAGAGGATCCCAAAATGTCAACTGTAGGAACTCGCATTTTCTCTACTTTTCCCCTATCACCTTTTTCATTCTTGAACATGCTTTCAGTTATTTTAAGGATGGACATTGGTTCTAACAGACTAAAGATAAGAATAGATAATGATATTGCAAGTTCAATAACCAAAAAAAAGAAGAAGAAGAAATGTGGACTGCTACCTCCACTGTGGCTGGTAATCCTCTTAAGCAGACTTTGCATACATCAAAAAGAGACTTAATATTTAATTATCTTCAAGGTGCCCAAAGTAGTGGCCCCACAAATCACCATGTTGCTGGGAAACCAGCCAACTCCTGCAAAATTAAATAGTCTATGGCTCCTGCTCTCACTGCTTCTCAGAGAGATGGCAGTTTCTATTTTTCTAATGATTAGTGAACAGAATTAAAAATTCAGAGGTCCTCATTTTTTAATAGTTTGAGAGGCTTTAGTTTCTATTCCAGAAATGTACCCCAGTGTGGGGGTAGAGGAGGAAGAAGAGGATGTGCTGGGAATGGGGAGGGAATGGATGTATTGTGTTAATCCCCTTGGTACAGTTTATCTGAGTTTTTCAGGTTTTGTAATTTTCTGGTTAACTGGTGCATGAAAAATATGGGTCAAAATACTAATGTTGCTTAAAAACTTACATACTTCACCTCAACCCCCCCCCCCCCATTTTTATGTAGAAGAGAACATGTGGTTTTGAGTTTTGCCTTTTAAGATTGAGGATGTCTGAACTTGTGGTTGTAAGTGATCACCAGAAAGAATTCATTTCAGACAGCGTCTAGCCTCATTACAAAGTCAAGTTTTTGTCTGCCTCAAACATACAAGGATATAATAACCTTCTGGCCAGAGACTAGTTTGGCATTCTTTGCCAGAACATTAACAAAATAAGCACTTCTCTCAGTTGAGGCTCAAAGTACATAGCAGAAGTTCAGAATGCAAAGCTCTATTTAGTACCTTAAAAGTAATTCACTGTTGCCTTAAATATCTTCATAGCTAAGAATCACAGACATGATTTACTTAATCAAATATAAAATAATATTTCATGATATGAATGAGTGTACACATGTATACTTTGTCTCTAATAGCTATGAACTCATGCAGCCCTGTAACTAGAAGAGAGTTCCAGAAGTTTCCCAGCTAGGTAATCATATTTTATAGAAAAGGATATGATTGTACAAAAAGCAGAAGTCACTTTCTCAGATTTTAGTTTAAATGTCACCTTTTCTACAATGACTACACAACCTAAATTAACCACACCAGTCACAATCTATTTTATTGCCCTTAATTCTGTATAAATCACCATGTCTGCTAACTTCTTCCTATCTATCCTTCTATTTGTTATATGATGTCTTTCTTCTTCCACTAGAATATAAATTCTGTGAGAACAGGGATCTTAAAGATATTCAATAAATATTTGTTGAATAAATTAATATTAAATCTTTAAAAACTTGTCCAAGGTCACCTTTAAATGGCAAGGCCAGGACTCCTCACTTTCAGTGCATTGTTCTTACTGTTAATGATGAAAAATTAGACCATGCTTTATCCCCCTTGTATGAGATAATGGAAAACCATTTTTACAGAGTAACCTGATACATCTGCATATATTCTGTCTCAGTTTGCCATACTTTGCTGATGGTGATTTCTGACCAGCCAGTTGCTTCTCATGTCGCATGCAAGCAATGCACAAGCGTGTTTGTCAGGATTCAAGCAGAGGCCATGTCCCTTTCTTTGCAAGACAATTGAAGTTGAGGAAGCATTCATATTCGTTGGTCTTATAAATATTTGGCAACATCAGGAGTCATTCTTTATGGACAGAGTTCTTTGAAGATTTGCCCTCTTGCCACTGGTATCATTGTGGGCAGAAGAGGGGACTACACAATGTGTTCTGTGTGCACATTAATTTTAAAAACCGTCCTGCAGAATA